GGTAAACCCAAGCAGAGATGTTTCCTGCTGGGGGACCCTAAAAGATGCTTAAAAGCTCCATGATGGAATTTGCCTTCTCATTCTGTGAGGAATGGCCTCAGAAAGTATCAGAAGATAATGGAACTTTCCACTTTCTGGCCTGAGATAACCTCTCACTCCTTATTAGCACTGTCTTCATCTACAGATGATTTGTGTCTATTATGTTTTATAAATTTCTCAATCTCGGTGGTTTCACAGCCTCTCGATATAACTTTAAACCTTCTACCACATTCTACAGTTTCTTGCAAAGATTACTTTATGTGAGTTTCTGAAATTAATAAGGCAGGCAACCCTCATTTTATACACCTTGAATACTGAAGTTTAGGGGGTTTTAAAGTTTCTTTTGAGATTAGTTTGAATATTATATTCTCCAAGAGACTAGACTTTGAAACGAGATGGACTGGAATTAAAATTCCAGTCTCGTGGGTCAGTAGGTGGTGTGGTGGTTGAGGTGTTGGATCCCATGTGACAGATTCTGCAGTTTGAGGTCTGGACCTGTCAGTCTGAAAAAACATGCCCCTGCCTGGCACATGTGCGTGCATGCCCAAATTTCCAAGAGGAGAATGGAGGAGCAGCATGGCCATCTTGCCCTGGAGGATGATTTTTCATTTTCCTTCTCTCTCTGTCTCTGCCTCTCTGCAGCAAGCACAAGTGTCTTAAGGAAAAGTAAAGAAAGTAAACAAACAAAAAATTCCATCCTTGAAAGTTATTTAATCAAAATGAACTTCGGATACAAAGTGAAATGAAAAATATGTTTTCTCTACCACAGGATGGTGAAAAAGACTAAAGGTGATGTGGGGAAAGCCCTAAAATACTCAATAAGTAATAGCGATGGCTATAGTCTATCTCTATTTGCTAAACTGTAGGGAATGCTGAGAAAGTCGTTAGGCAAAAATTTGAGGTTCCAATGGGCCACCACGGCTAACATGACCCAAGGTTGGTCACTTTCAAGTTCTCTTCCCTATCTCTAACTTGTAGCTTGTGAAGAAAGTGTCATTCTCAATTTTATATCAAAAACCAACTAGAAATAAGATATAATAAAAAAAATGTTTGCGACCAACCTCATTGAAACAAACCTATTCTGTAAAACAAAACAAAACAAAACAAAACAGAAGTTGACACTCCTACTTGGTAACTATTGAGTGGGTGTGTGCACACACATAGAGTAGTGTTGATTTCTTTGAGCTAATCTAGGTCTTGGAGCTTAGGTATTGAACCATATTTCCCTTTGACATGTGGTTCTATAAAGTGTTCATTCATTTATTTAATTAAAAATGTTTTGGGCACTTATTACATACTAGATATATGACTTGTGTAGTTTTAGAATTTATTTAATGGTATTCCTGACTATAATGTTCATAGGTTCAGAATATAGACAGAGAGAGGAGCTAAAGTGGAATTTAGACATGGCTAATTATCTCAATTTATTCATGGAGAACTGAGGTGCAGAGACCTGTGGTTAAAGTTCTCAAGGACACACGTAGCAGAGTTGCTATAAAAGGGAGTATTGAACACTGTTTCTCAACTTTGGCTGCACATTAGAATTATTTGGGACAATTTAAAGATATTTGTGCTCAGAATGCATTGTGGAAAAATTAAATCAGGATCTCTTGGCGGTGGGACTCAGGCAGCAGTAGCCTGAAGTTCTTACTCAGGCAATGTATTGAAACAATCTTCCTATTTCTCACTAGTTCATGGGAATTCGAGTTCACATATAAAATTGCTTAGAGAAATGAAAAGCAACAGGCGCTATTGTCCTCACTACTAATCCTCCTTTTCCTTTCCTCCACCGAAACCCTCAGACCTTGACTTTCTGGAGCGCATCTTCTCACAGTAACCTCCTCTTTCTCCTTTAATACTTGTTGCCCACCTAATCTTTTTCAATAGCTCTCTTATAGGTTATTCACAAGTCTGTCACCTCTGAGATAAAGTTCCAAATACCTCATCCTAGTATTTAAGACTGAGTAAATCTGGTCTGAGTTTATTTTTCCAGGTTCGTTCTCCATTCTGCAGTCTAATAGGTCCACTGGCTTTTTTCCCCCCAATTAACATGTGCACAATTGCTCTGAAATGCTGTCTTTTCCTCTCATCTGAGCAAAATTCTTCCAACTCTTCAACACTGAAACTCAGATTTCTCCATCATGCTTTCTTGTCGTCTGCCATCTCTATATTTCTACATTTCAATACTATAATTTTTACTTTATTATATTTTTATTTCTTTGACATGTCCATAATGGATTGTATTGGTATGAATGTAATTTTGTTTGAATATATTTGCTTTCCTTAGGTAATAAAGTACTGGAATACAGAGCCTGGATTTTATTCATGTATATAGGCCATACAATAGGCCATGATACATGCTGATCGAATAATGAATCCTAATAAAGAATAGTGTCTGTGGAGTAGAAAAGGATGAGATAAGTTAGAAAAGGAATACATCTTAAATAATGACATTAGGATTATATCTTTGCTTCTTCCACAAATGCATATTTAGCCACTGAGTTGCCGTGTATTTTCTGATCCTCAAATTAGAGACTTTTTAAAATTTCTTTTCTTCTGCAGGTGAGATGCATAAAAGTGCAGAAAATAAGATACGTTTGGAACATCTTAGAAGGGCAATTCCAGAAAATTGGGTAAGTTGTTTTAGCAAGTACATCCAAAGAGGAAAAGTGTCATCTCAAAAATGCTGTCACTAACTATGTTCTTCTCATTATTATTTTAGCTCTTTGGAAGACTGGCTCAGTTCTGCCAAGATACATCTAAAATTTGGATCAGGTCTAACAAGAGAAGAACAAGAGATTAGGTACCATGCATACTGATGTCTATGCTAGCTTAAAAGAACTGTCATCAGTTAGCCAAATAGAGAGCCTAGGAAATAGTTATCCTACTTGATTAGTTTCTGAAAATGTTACAATGCTCTATTCAGCATTATTATTATAAATGAAATATTTTCAAATACATTATTTCCATTCATTTTTAGAGCAACCTTGTGGGGGCAGTTGAAGAGACATCATGAACATCTCAATATAACAGATGAGAAATCTGAGACTCAGAGAGGTTCAGTAGCCTGAACAAGGTCCCACAAATGAGCAGTGATAGAACACTTCAACTGCTGGGTGCTCTGTGTACCCTGCACAATGCTTCTCTAGGTTACTATAATAACTTTGTCATCAGGAAATATGTGTTATACCAGGATAACACAGTTAGACAATAATGGGACACCAGAGGAATGCCATGCAAGATATGCAGTCCCACACTTCCAAGTCAATTAATTCAGCAGAGGAACAGGGTCTAGGGAAGGTACTGTGAAGCTTTGAGCAAATCTTCTCTCTGGGCCTTCATTGCTCAGTGTAAAAACGGAAAGAAGGACTCTGTAAGGGCCCTTCTCATCCTGAGATCCTCTGATTCTTACACTTCTCCCAAAACCATTTCTAGTACTTTGAAGATACCTAGAGCCTTGCAGCATCAGCATCAGTCCAGAACTTGTTAGAAATGCAGAATTAACAAGATCACCAACAAGATCCTCCCCTGCTGTTTTGAGAACGATGGGGATGTTACATAACAAGGGAGATTTATATTATGCCCACAAGAGAGAACGTGAACATGGAACTGACCTTTTTCTGAATGCTGGAAATGACTCTCGTTTTTAGCATTAGTCACTGAGTGGTCTAATTTCTCTCTACAGGAGGTTAATATGTGGGCCTAACACTATTGACGTTGAAATAACACCAATTTGGAAACTACTCATCAAAGAGGTAATTTTTCCAGAATTTTCTCTTGTTGTTGGAGAGAAAAATAAAAAAAGTTTGGTCTCAAGCAAACAGTCAGGAGTGCTCTTGTTAATAAGTAACTATAATTTGGGAGACATCTTAAAAGAAAGCCAAGTGTATTTTCTTCGTATCTTCCATCTCTTTTTCTGCGAGGCCCTGTTTTATACACTGCCTGATACAGTACTGCCTGTGATGCCCACGTGTCTCCTTAATGACGGATGAATGCAAGTTTTTCTTTTTTCTTTCTTTTTAAATACTATACTGCTTAGACTGTCCCAATTTTGTGAACTAAAATAATATACATACTTTTAAAAACAATCCTTTCCTTATGCAACTTACATAATCTCCACAGCATCCAAAATTACACAAAGGAAAAAGCCCTCTGTTCAGCCTTATTAGTTCTACCGATCTTGATGTATGTGTGGGAAGGACCTGACCACCATTTACTAAGTTGAATTTTTCTATGTGGGACTCTATTTCTAGGCATATCATTTTCCATTTTGTAGTGAATATCATCATCCAACCATAACCATATGGCTGTCCTCTGAATTTCCCCGTGTTCCACTTCCACCCCTCCTTGCCTTAACAAGAAGCGTACTAAGTTCCAGGTCCTTTGGCAGTACTTCCAGGATGTTTCAAGCATGGAAAAAGGCAAAAACACACGATGGGCAATGTTTCTGTGTATTTCCTTCTTAACCAGAGGAAAGAATTATTCCTGGCCTAGACAGATGGAAATCAACTAAAGAGAATTTGAGTCAGGGCACAAAATATTCCTAACCAAAGCTGCAATACCACAGTAGGGTTAACACCGACTCCCAAGTGTTCTGGCGGCTTGGTTACAGCTTACCACCTTCAACTAGCTCTCTACCCAGAAGAGAAGGTAGTCTTCCATTCCTTAATTTATCTAAAGTTCTTTAATGGCAGCAATCATAGAGAAGAACAATAGACTAGAAAGTGTTCACAGTTTGTAAACCTGAACAAACTTCAGCTTTTTGAAGGCCAGTAAATGTAAATGGAGGAGATAGTATCTTACATAACTACTGTGAGTGTCAAAATGAGGAAACAGGTGGTATTTCTTTGTAAATCGTAAGGTACGGCAATAATTCAAAATAAGTGCTCAGGGTAAGATTGCCGGGGTTGAAGTCTTGGCTCTGGGACAGTCACAGCTGTGTGACCTTAGGAGAGTTTCTCAAGATCTAAGGCTCAGTTTCTTCATCTTTACAATGGAGATGAGTAATAACTTCTAGTTAATCAGGTAATTGAGGGAATTAAATGAGAAAATTGAGGTAAAGTTGCTTAGTGCAGTGTCTGGCACATGGATATTACTGAATACATACCACAGTAAGAAGAATAAAGATATTATATGGGATCGTTTATGTCACAGGGGCGATTATGGAAACAAACAGGTCAATGAATGACTAAGTGTGAAGCCTAAATATCTCCTTTGTCTTCCTGTTTAATGTCTGCCAACAGGTTCTGAATCCATTCTACGTATTTCAACTCTTCAGCGTCTGTTTGTGGTTTAGTGAAGACTATAAAGAATATTCTTTTGCCATCATAATCATGTCCATCATTTCCATAGCTTTGACAGTGTATGACCTCAGACAGGTGAGTTTTCCCTCTACTTCTAAGAACTCAGAAAGGGAGTAGTAGTAACTGCATTGAAATTGTGTTAAAAAGGAGACTTAGGAAGTAGTCATTGCTCGTTTCATATTGGAGACCGAGTTTATGAATGTCTAGCATGATAGCCAATGCTCAATGAATTAATCCTTGTCCTTCTCTTCCCTCACATCCCAATCCCTAATCATTCAGGTTATATTTTCCTTCTCTTTAGCTTACTTAAGGTCAGTTAACCAGAGGAATATACAAATGTTTATAAATTCTGAATAAATAAAAAAGCATGCAGCAAATACGGATAGATCTTGAAGATAATGGGAAAGAAACAGAAGGGGAAGAGTCTGTTTAATGTGATCTCATTAGCTTCAGGTTATATTTTCCTTCTCTTTAGCTTACTTAAGGTCAGTTAACCAGAGGAATATACAAATGTTTATAAATTCTGAATAAATAAAAAAGCATGCAGCAAATACGGATAGATCTTGAAGATAATGGGAAAGAAACAGAAGGGGGAAGAGTTTGTTTAATGTAAACTCATTTGCCTCTCAGGTTTGGTTGTCACTCCCTTGCTTAGGCCCCAGTCAACTTCTGGCTTTATTTATTTATTTATTTATTTTTTTTTATGCTTGCACCAAGGCATTTAGGTGCTGTTGGAAAATAAAAAAGGAAAGTAAAAACATAGACTAGATGAATACCAGCCTCATCGGGGGAGCCTACCCTACAGCTCTGATCAAGGCGCGCATCATTCTGTGAAATTAAGGTTGCAAACCCTCTCTCTCTTCAGGTTTCTGAGATGCCCATCTCCCTGCAGTCCACTTGTCTTTAATTAAGCAGATAACTCGCCACTTATTTCACAAAGGAAATGGAATCCGTAAGATAGGGATTTGTCGAAGTACCCTAATTGCCACATGACTCGCCTCCCCGGCCCGACCTGCCCGGACTCTCGTGGGTGGACTGTGCCCTCCGCCGATGATCGAGATACCACCCTTGCCCTCCTTTCCAGGGTCTCATGCATCCCTACATGACTCCTCTTTTTGCCCTCTCCTCAAACGCCGACTCGTCATGTGTGACTCAAACCAGAGTCGACCTCTTCTCCATGCTTCTGCCTTCAGTGTCTACCGCATCTCTTTTCTCCACTTGACACCAAGACAGCTTCGGCCTTTGTGCCTGCTCCTGTCATTCACTCACCTGTCTCTCACGTGTCACTCAGGCTGACCTTGTCTTCTCGCTCATGATTCCACTTGAACAACTCAAGTTAAGGTCATCATGACAATCCTGAAACCCAAAGATAGTTTTAAAATGAATTGTTTGTGAATAGGTAGGTTTTTTTTCTTAATATGGCGGCAATATGTAAACATGAGTAAAGATAAATTTTAAACAGAAGAAAAAGTGTGAGTGAGGCCTGAGGATCCTTCCCATTGGAGGGACTACTCAGCGTCCAGAGCTCTTCAAGAGGCATCCCCTGCAACCAGACGTTCTGCACACTTTAGTGATGTTAAATGCATGTGTATCAGTTCGTTTTACAGAATGGAAGCATACTACATACACTGTCATGTACTTGCATTTTTCACCCCAAATATCTAACGTATTTTTAATACTTCACGAATACGTTTTCTCTAGAAGTACCATAATTATTTATTTATTTTTATTAAAGAGATTTTTGTTATAGGATGCATGTACTCACCGGAGAGATAGAGACAGAAAGTGAGAAATCACCCTCCAGGAGGGATGACCAGGCCACAATGCACACACATGCGCCTGGTGTGAGTGTTAAGTTGCTAGGTCTGGGACTTGAACTGCAGTCAACCACATGGGGGTCCAGCAATATAATCATTATGCCATTTTCTGGTCCCAGTACTATAATTTTTACCCAGACCAATACTGATAGATATTAAGGTCGTTTCAGTCTTTTGCTACTAAAACAATGCTGCAGTGAGTAGCCTTGCACAGAAAGATTTTTATACATATCTGTATATATATATATATATGCACAGAAATTTTAAGTATATGTAATTTATATTACATATAAATATGTATACATCAAGTGTACATATATTAATAGATATGCTTATATATATCTGTATTGATATGCAGAAATAAAGTTTCTGTAACTGGGATTACTTAGTCCTTAGGAAGGTACATTATTTAAAAACATGTTTTCAAGATGCTTCTTAAGCAGTAATACCAATTTACACTCCTCCTAACAGTAGAATACTGTTTCCTTTATCTTGGCCAATATAAGTAAAAATAGGATTACATAACTTTAATAGCACATTTTTCATTATGAGTTGAGCATTTTTCTGATGTTTTAAGCTATCTGTATTACTTCTTTTAAAATAATTATTTTATTTATTATTATTATTATTCAATTTCACCAGAGAGAGGGGATGAGTGAGAACAGAGAAAGAGGGTGACTGAGAAAACAAGCCACCAGGTACAGTACTTGAACCATGATCAACCATGTGGGAGTCCAGTGCCTCAACCACCACACCACCTGCCAATTCCTCCCCTTTTTAAAATAATTATTTTTATTTAACTTTATCTATTATTATTTTTTTAATTTGGCCAGAGAGAGATACAGAAAGAGACAGAGAGAGAGAGAGGTAAAGTGAGAAAGCAAACCACCAGGTCTGGGCTTCGAACTGCAGTTGGCCATGTGGGAGTCCAGAGTCTTTAACCACCATTCCACCTGCTGGACCCTGCATTTCTTACAATGGATTCTCTGTGTCCTTTATTTTTATTGAGTTATTAGTGTTTTGCTTGCTGATGTTGTGACCCCTGACAGGGGACCCTTTTTTTCCCCAGTACAGAGTTCATTACCATCTCTACTGCATTTGACACACTGAATTGACCCCTTCTTCCCAGAACACTCTTCCCCTTTGGCTTCAGTGACAGCACGCTGTCCATCCTCTCCAGTTGCTCTTCTCTCTTCTCTTTTGATAGTTCATCCCTCTCTATTTGCCCTTCTTAAATGGGTGTCTCAAAATCAAAGCAATATGAAATGCATGCAGTATAGAGGGTCCATCTTTCTCTCCTCCTCAGCTGCTTGTACTAGTTGCTCATGCATCCTTCCAAACTAATTTTCAGGAAAATAAAGCAAATACAGGGTTTCTGTTCTCTTTTTTCTTGTGAGAGTGGTAGCATAATTCCATCATCTTCTTAGCTATATTAAAAAGTATATCTTGAGAATATATCTTGAGAATATTTCATGTTAGTACATGAGAGATTCATTATTTTAATAGCTATCCATGCCAATGACTTCTAAAGGCACATGCTAATGGCTTTCAAATTTATATGTACATCACAAGTGAAATATCTCTTTTAATATCTAGATTCATAGAGCCAACAAGCTATTTGATCTATCCACCTTAATATCCAAAATGTACCTTAAATTCAACATGTTAGACACAGAACTCAGTAACTCTCCTCCCAGATCTGCTCTGTTAGGCTTACCTGATGTGGTGACAGACACCACCAATTGTTCAATCACACAAAGCAGACATCTTGTCGTTCTTGAAACTTTCTTTTTCTTCAATCATTCATGGAGTCACACTGATTTTTCTCTCCTAACTATCTCTCGGTATCATTCACTTTCTCCCATCCTGCTACTATCGAGGTTCAAGTTACCCTCACTTACTGCCCCGCGATGACCTTGCATCTGGTTTCACATATGCATCCTTGCGTCTGTCTAGTCTGTTCTCCACAGAGCAGGATGAGGCATGGTTCTAAAATGCCAACCAGAACACGGTTATTCCCATACTCTTACCACCAAGACGCCGCAACGTATTTCCATTGGTCTTACAACACACTTCCAAATTTGATGTTTTTAGTGCCTATAGGCTTTGCCTCAGAAGATTTCAACTTTTTAGTCTTTACAAGCCTTTACATTTCAAAAAACCATGGAGAACCTCAAAGAGTTTTTATTTTTGTGGATTATACCTGTTGATATTTATCACATTAGAAATTAAAGCCTAGTATCGTAAAATAGTTATTGGCTTATTTTAGAATACAAATCTCTCTCATGTTTAGACTAATGGAAGGCAAGGGACTCGTAACTACATCTGCATTCAATATATTACTATATTACCTATCATTTGGGTTCTGGAAAACTCACACATGTGAAAGAGTGAGATTTAGAAAGGCAATTCATGTCTTAGTACTATGTGAGAATAATTTTACCTTCTCAACCCCTGTAGAAAGTTCCTGAAGACCTTGGGAATCCTCAGACCACTCTCTGAAGACCACTGCTCTACCTGTACTTGTAACCACGCTCTTACACTGTCTTTTGGCTTAATTCATCAGCCTCTACTTTGCTTTCTGCCCTCAGCTACATGGCCCTGAAACAAACTCTCTTCTTAACCTTAGAGCATTTGGACATGCCACTTGGAATTGTCTTTTCTTTATATCTCTATGATTTACTTTCACCCCCTAGACTAAATAACTCTTACCTGAGACAAAATATTGCTTCTTCAGGGATTATTTTTCTTTGATTCCCTTTGCTGTATTTGCTCTAAAAGCCCTTTATTTTCTCCTCCCTAATACTGATTGTAATGATACATTGACATATGTGACTATTTGACTAAAATGTGTTTCTCTTAGGAGGTTGTAAGTTCTTGATGGTAAAAACCACAGCTTTTGTTTGTCATTCTATCCCTGTCTCTTAGCATATTCCCTGGCATATCAGAGGTTGCTCAATAGTTGTTGAGTGAGTGCATGGATGAGTAAAAGAAGAACACTTCATCTTCGACTTCATCTTATCTTAGTAATCAGTCTTAGGACATATGCATCAGGTTTGTAAATAATTTGAAGCTAGGAGATTTAGGGAGTGCCTTAAATGGCAGAATCAGGACATAAAAATGAACAGACTATATGATTGGGATTTTAACCCAATCAGCTAGGAGGTCTTTCACACAGTAGTTTCTCAACCAAATATAATTTCATTACATTTTTCTTTTATCTCTTCTTATTGACTCACTCCTATGTATTTCATGTAATACAATAATGAATGTTACAAGGAAATAGCAGGATCCATAAAACTCCCTATAAAGTGATATATTAGGAACTCTGATGAGGAGTAGCTCAAAACTGAAATAAGGCCTAGTTCTTCAAGTTATAACACCTATCTTGAATGACAAATATTTTGATGTTATCTACCTATTTAAGGAATGAAACATACATTATAATTTTCAAAAACTCTTTTGAGTGGAAAGAGCATGCCGGGGGACTCTTTTCTGCTAAAGAATATATGCTTTTTATGGCTGAGTGAAGAGCATAAGTTGAATACTTTTCCAGTAGAGTAACAGGCTGCTCTGTCCTTTGTTAATAGCCAGTGTGTTCAGTTGGCAATTATACAGTGCTCCGTCTTTAAAGAAGCTCCAGCTTACTGAGTAATACCTGGGACCTATACTCAAACGGATAAGCCTTTTCTATGTTCTCTTCTTTTTCAGCAATCTGTAAAACTCCATCATCTAGTTGAGTCACATAATAGCATTACAGTTTCTGTATGTGGGAAAAAAGGTAAGTTCCTTTGTTTTAGGTGTATGTGTTTTCCAAATGGAGTAGGAAAAGGACTGAATTTGTTTTTCATTGTTCCTACTCCTTCCATGGTTATATGCATCTTTTCTTATGAATTCATTTAAAGGAATGAGAAACTTAAGATCTTTCCATCTTAAACTAATTTATTGAGGTAGAATTAGCAAATGATAAAATGGACATATTTAGAATGCACTTATTATAATTTAATAAGTTTTGACATATATATATATATTTATAATGACAAAACCATCAAGATAATGACCATCCATTGCTTCAAAAGTTGCCTTTCCTTGTTTTGTTTCATTTTGTTTTTTTGAGAGTTTTTTGCTATAGGGTATGTGCACTAGCCAGAAAAACAGACAGAGACAGAAAGACAGACAGTGAGAAATCACCCTGCAGGGGGGATGGCCAAGCCGTAACCCCTTCTCCTCCATTCTCCTCTTGGGATCTTGGGCGCGCCCGGCATGAGTTTAAGCCACCGGGTCTGAGACTCAAACCACGGTCAACTACATGGGAGTCCAGTGACATAACCATTATGCCAGCTGCTGGTCCTGCTTTTCCTTGTTTTTAAACCTTCCCTCTCTGTCAGAACCCTCCATCACCCTTGTCTCTTTTCTGTCACTGCAGGTTAACTTCTACATTTAGAATTTTATATAAATGGCATTTTACGGTATACATGCTTTGTTTCTTTTTATAGTTTGGATTAATTTGGGGAAATCAAAATTCATAATTATTTCAAAATTCAACCATTTCATTAAGTGTATCAATAGTTCATTCCTTTTCATTCCTGAGAGCATCTTATTGTATGGATATAGCAATTTGCTCATCCATTCATCTGTTGATGGCTATTTGTGTTGTTTCCAGGTTTGGACTAATATAAATAATACTGCTCTGAACATTTGGGTACAGGTCTTTGTATGGACATGAACTTTCATTTCTTGTGGCAAAGTGGAATGGCTGGATCATGTGGTAGATTGGTATTTAACATTTTAAGAAACTGCCAACTGTATTTTCCCAAGTGGTTGTACCATTGTATGTTCCTACCAGTAGGGCATGAGAGTTCCACTTTCTCTTTTTTCTTAGGAAGATTTTTACTGTAGGGCACATTTGCTTGCCAGAAGCAGAGAGATAGAAGGCAATAAATCACCCCCCAGCTGGGATGGCCATGCCACAATCCCTTCTCCTCCATTCTCCTCTCAAGATGTTGGGCGAAAACGTACATGTGCTTGGTGTGAGTTTCCAGCTGTTGGGCCGGGGGCTCGAGTCACAGTTGACTGCGTGGGAATCCAGCGACATAACCATTATGCCATCTGCTGATCTCCCACCTTCTTCTTCTTCTTCTTCTTTTTTCTAATAAACTTCTTCCTTGAGAGAGAGGGAGACCTTCAACAGGATCCCCACAGACAATTAACGTCTTACTTCAGTCAGCCCCAAATCATGGGCACATGCAGCCTGGAGTGTCCAGGAAGATTTCTGATGCAAACCCCAAGTCCTGCCATGTGGCTCAGCCTCACAGGGCCTTGTGCTGGCACTGTACCACCAATCCGTGCCAGTGGCTCAGCCTCACCAGGCATTGTGCTAGGACTGTACCACCATCAGTCCCAGTTGTTCCACTTCTTGCCAGTACTTGAGATGGTTAGTCTTTCATTTTAGTCACGTGGATGTGTGATAGTATCTCATGCTGTTTCCATGTGCATTTCCCCAATGCCTGCTGGTGTTATGTACCTTTTCAAGTGCTAATTTACTACTCATGCATCTTTTCCCATGAAGTGTCTGTTCAAATCTTTTGTTTTGAACAAAAATTTCTTCCCATTAAATTTAAGAGTTATTTCTGGGTACAAGTCCTTTGTTAGATAGACATATGATTTGCATTTTTTTTATCAGTCTGTGACTTACCTTTTGATTATTTTCACAGCATCTTTCAAAGGGCAGTCATTTTAATTTTTTTAACACCAGTTTATCAACTTTTTTTCTTTTTAGGATTAAACTTTATTTTATTTATTTTTTTAAATATCAAAAACATCTTAACTAATCCAAGATCACCAAGATTTTCTGTTCTGTCTTATAGTCTTAGGCTTTATGTTTACTTCTATATTGCACGTGAAATATTTTAAAAATTTTTGTTTACTTTCCTTTCTTTGTGGATTGAAGATTTATTCATTTTGCCATTATATATCTAAGTGTTCCAATACCTTGTGCTGAAAACATTACCCTTTCTCACTAAATTGCCTTTGCACCTTTGTAAAAAAAAAAAATGTGACCGGCTTGGTGGCACAGTAGAGTGCGTTCCTGAAGAAGCAATGCTGGGCCCACGTGGAAGACTGCAATGTCAGTGTTCCAGTCAGGCTGCATACACTGAGGGTGTGGCCCGCGGTTCTGGCTGGCTGCAAGGGTTGAGGGTGAATTGTAGTGTGAGATCCTATTGCAGTTGCTTCTCTCGCTCTCAATCTCTTGCTTACTCTCTCAAGAAGTAAATAAGCTAAAAACAAAACAAAACAAAACAAAAAAAACCCAGTCATCCATTCATAAGTGAATTTCTTTCTTTTTTTTATCATTTATTTTCACATTGTCAGATGGAAGATAATGTTAATACTCTTAATATGTATTAAAGCACTGTTGTTTCCTTTTTTAAAAAAGAATGATTTTATTTAACTTTATCTATTTATTTGAACATAGAGGGATAGAGCAAGAGAGAGAGAGATAGAGTGGGAAAGTGAGAAAACAAGCCTCCAGGTCCAGGACTCAAACTACGGTCAGTCAAGTGGGAGTCAAGCACCCTTAACCACCATGCCACCTACCAGCCCCCGAACATTTATTTTCCATATCAAAAAAATTTTGCTCGTACTCCATAGTTCTTGAGAGTTAATAAACAACTTTCAAAATTTCAAAAAAACCTGAATTTTAAAGATAATGTTTGAAATATTTGGTATAATTTTGTTTGTGACTCTGTAACGACAGAAACAATATGGTTTAAAATATTTTCGAGAAAATGTTTACATGTCAACTACTGAAATTGTTGAAAAGCAAATGCGCAGCACACAATTCACATATAAACCTTCTCAATTCAGCCCTGTATTCTGTGCTTTACCACCTGCTAGCAAAGATCGGTCTCTTTTTCTTCCTTTAAAGTCTTCCTCAAGGTAATCCTCTGGTCATAGCTGCTCTTTTACAGTCTCTACTGGTTACAATGCTGTGCTGGAAAAGACAAGGTTATTTTAAGGTACAAATTCTTTCATATAGCTTCTCTAATCCTCTCTACCAGGCAGAACTGTTAATGGTGCCAGGCCATCTTTCCAAGAGCTTCTGTTGGCTTACTTGAGATCTACCTTAATTCCATAGTCTTCTGGTTTAATCTTCAGATTTGACATTCTAGTCAAAGCCCTTTCTAACAACAAGTATTTCCAATTTCTGATTCAGTGCAACAGGTATTATTGAACTTCACAAATAACTATTCTGCCACAAAATAAGAATACTCCCAAATATTTTTCAATTACAGAGGAGTCAGGAAGGGAGAAAAATTTATGTTTCCATTTAAAGAAACAAACAAAAAGAAAAAAAACCATTTAAACAATTGCTGAAAATATCAACAGCTCAAAAGAAAGCAAAAATCCTTAAATTGAAAAAACAAAGCATAGTAAAACAAATCAGTAATATTTTATTCAAAAGCCATAAAATTCTATTTCACCAGTTCAGTCTTGAATTTGCAGTGTTATTGTGCTCTGATCTTTCCATTTAAATCCTGAAAGTTAACATTCAATGTAATTATTGATATTTCTTGTCCCTAGCATTAAGTTGGTCATTTTTTGGTTGCTTTTTATTCTCTTATTTACAGAAATAAGAGAATACTGTGTGTCTTTAGTTTTCCTGGTAAAGCATTCCTTTTAGAACTTCTTGAAGTGCTGCTCTGGTGTTGGTAAATTCTTTCAGGTTTTGCTTATCTGAGAATGTTTCTATCTTTTCTTCCCATATGAAGGATAATCTTGCTGGGTATAGTATTCTTGGTTGAAACTGTTTGTCACTTAACACCTTAAATATATTTTCCCATTCTTTCCTGGCTTGCACTGTTTCTGATGAGAGGTCTGATGTTATCCTGATTGGATAAACTTTATAAGTAACCTGACGCTTCTCTTTTGCCAATTTTAGTATCTTGTCTTTGTCTGTGGATTTGGTCAACCTGGTTATGATGTGCCTTGGAGAAGATCTTCTTGGGTTGATTCTATTAGGGGGTCCTTTTTATTTCTTGGATCTGGATATTTGAATGCCTCTCTAGATTTGAAAAGTTTTCTTTCAGGACTTTATGGAATAAATTAACAATGCCCTTATTAGTTTCTTGACCTCTGGGATACTGATTATCCAGATGTTTGGGCATTTAATGGTATCCAATGTTTCTCGTATAGTGTTCTCATTTTTTTTGGTTATTTCCTCAGTTTTTTTGATTATGTTTTTTAGGTCAGAGGTTTTGTCTTCAATATCTGAAATTCGATCTTCTGCATGGATTAATCTGCTTTTAATACTTTGGAGGGAGGTTTTGATTTCCTGTGTTACAGCCTTCATATCTAACAGCTCCATCTGATTCTTTTTTATGGTATTTCCTCTTTCAGATTGTGCAAGAACTACCTCACCTCCTGGAAGTCATTGTCTCTTTTCTCCTGTATCTTCTGGAGTTGATTGTCAATCAGTTCTTCCATCTCGTTTAGTTTTGTCACTATGAATATTCTAAATTCTCTACCAGACATTTCCATGAGTTCCACTGTACTGTCTGTGGATAATGAAGGATTGGTCTTTTCCCTTAAGAGAGAGATATTTTATTGGTTTCTCATAGTTCTTGTGCCTTTGCAGTGGTTTCTGGTCATCTGATAGATTATATGTGTCTCCCTATTTTCTGGGAGCTAATTCTGAGCTTTCAGATGTGTGTGGGAGGAGGTGATCTGAAATCTCTCTGCAGTTCTGTTTCCCTTATGCTCACCAAGCAACCTGCACTT